GAGGCGGGTCCCGCGGCGCGATTGCGCAGTCTCTGTTGCTGTCAGAGGCCAAGAGCATGCGGCGCATTGTCGCGGACATAAAATTCAAACTGTTTTGATTCGTCTAACATCAGTTCTTCCATTTTTAATTGACTAAAATAGAATTTGCGAAAGTAATAGTATGTATGTGTGTGTATACATGTGTGATCGAAATATGCAGAATATTTTATTCCAAAATAATATCCAGTCTTACTAAAAGGAAGGTGACCTTTGTAATAGCTTATTTCTAGCATTTAAACATGATACTATTCAAGATCAGTTCCTCCATCAGATGATGGAAAGGAATGTATATTAATCGTGATGTATATATTGATATTGATACACTATCCGTTTCTTAAGCTTATGGCATACAATATATTTCTTCCTGCTGGGTTTCTAACTGAATGCATGTTATCGTATTAGCAGCGATGCTGGTAATACTACTGGCCGTGTTGCTGGCTTGGCTTCAAATAGTCCGAGTTTCGTGTTGGCCGAGCAGCTAAAATTTAACTTTGCTTGACAGAAAGTCCCGTACTCGAATAAATAAGTATTAGATCACTGCCATAAATCATCGAAAATATTTAGTTAAAAATGCAATTTTATGTCTATTTTTTCTTTTACATCACATGAATGTCATATTTCTCTTTTTTTAAGCAAATCTTTTATACTTAGTGAACATAAAAGAATACTATCGTGGATCTAATAGACAAACTAGTAGTGTTGTCAGCAAGCTACGCGATTTTCAACATAATAGCAAGGCTATAAACGCACGCAGACTTGCTTTTTAACTTTGTGATTCCTATCTCCTTTGTTTAACAGATAGAAGTTAATACGGCTGGATCAGAATGGAAACTGTACACAAAGTCATTATGGTTCTACAAAATCTAAATGAATATTATAAAGTCAGAAGAAAGTGTCATTCCCTGCCACCACTTAGCACCTACGCATACATTGGGTACCATAACCGTTTACTGAGCGCTTAACAAGCTCTTACATCTGATTGGCATATTCCGCTAGATCTAAAAATATATACGGTAAAAAAAGTGTGTATTTGTGTTGAAAACGGTCCACTCACGTTTGTGTTAACAGTTTATGTTGAATTTTTTAACATATTCGAGTGTTAATTTAACATAATGTGATTGTTATTTAAAGATTTTTGATATTCAATGTTTTTTAGTGTCAAAATGATATAATTTATGAGTAAGTGAACAAGTAACATAAAAATAATGTGTTTTAAAACGTAAATTCTAAGACAACGAATAAAATATGTGTTAATTTAATATATCATAAATGTTAATTTTCTGGAAAAAAAAAAATGTTCTCACGGTTTGTTTACAAACTGTGTCGATGTTATCTTTCTTTGTATTTATTCGCTTATATAAGATTTGTGTTACCTTCTAACATATTCATCTTGTGTAAAATTAACTCAAAAATTTGAGTGGACCGTTTGGGATATTCGATTTATGTTAAATTCAACACATTTTTTCCAACTGTGTAGACCAAACAGATACAAGAAGCGCTCAGTGAGCTCTTACATCTGATTGGCGTATTCCATTAGATCTCAAAATATAAACCAAACAGGTACAATCAGTACTAAATGCACCCATTAGTGATCGTAGATTTGCATGATCGTACGTCTGGAGAAAGAAGGGAGCAGCAACATAGGTAGTGACTTAATTACACAAATAATATTAAGCAAAGAATTTCTTAGAACCGTAAATGTGAATACACAGCGAGTAAATTACATAAAAACAGATCGAAACCCGTATGGTTTGTGAAGGTAGTTGTATCGCAAAATGACTTTTCTTAAGATTTATTTGAAGCTTTTGCTATTCGAAGATAATATTCTTTATACATACGTATAATTTTTAGGGGGGGGGGGGAGTAACCAGGCACGTTCAAAAGATAATATTTGAAGTTAGTACTTTTAACATATGTTCCCTAAACAAGGAACAAGTACATTTTTAATTATAGCGCAAAAACGGTATTTTTAGAAACTCACTCAAAAACTAAAGGACTATAAATAAATACAATATGAATTACCTAAACCAAAGAAAATGAGGAGTAACCAGGCAATTATTAATTATGAAGCCTTAGAAAGTTGCTTTACTACTTCATTAATATTCACTTCACTTGTCAACTCATTCTCAAATACTTGCTATAGATTGCCAATATTTTAACAATAATTTTTTTTCGCCACCGAACGGTGCCTCATGCCCTGACACTTCGGGCGATAGACCGAGTCGCCCACCCCACAAGCTGCCCCTGTGCGATACAACCACCTTAATCCGAGGACAAAGCAACCGAAATTCCCTTCCCTTCCGGAAGAAAACCGCATATGTAAAGCGCGAATGAGATCAAACCTAGAATCGAGAAACACAAGTCAATCACATTAAGCGTGAAGCCACTTGATGCCCCAATCCGGCAGGTAAAAACGTATCGTGTGCAGCAGGCTTTACATCAAATTTGATATGTCAACTAGAGCATATTCCTAGGATTAATCAATATTAAAAGAAATTATAATGTACTCGTATACATTCGTATACGTATGAAAAATTTAATTTATATTAATACATGCTCCAATTTTACAAAAGCAAAAGCGAAAGCAAATATCGATCTTGAAAGTATATAAAATCATCGAAGGAAGAATGTAAATTACTAACCGTCTCTCACGAATATATAGCTTGTATAAATTAAATTTATCTATTTGATATGTACATTATAGGTAAAGTCTGCAATGTGATGAAAAATATATATTTATATGTACAAATGTTTTTTTTTTTTTAATACGAAGTAATAATATATTTTCAATTATATATTATATTTTTCTGCACTATATATGAATAATTTTATAATTTTATTTTTACAAGCACAATCTAGCTGAGGGAAATACATTTGTATGCAATCTATATATGTGTATTACTCTTCAAGTAGTACAAAATTTTTTATTTAATTACTGATACACACACAATTACAGATATTTTGCATTTCGGACTTTACTTGCGATGTGTATAAACTTATAACATTATATCTAAGTATCACAATGTGTAAATAATTTAGTGATTATTTGCTCCCTTATAGTTCGTAAATATAATCAATGGGGTTCCTATAATTCGATAGCTTTCAAACACTGTATAGTCTTTTTTTACCAAGATGATATAATAGCTATTTTATTAATGTCATCTGTGTTTTTGGAAAAGAAAAGTATCGGGAGATTACAAATCGCTAGTTAAAAAAAACATAGATATTTTCGACGCTAAGTAATACATAGTTGCAAACTATTATGACAGCAATTGAACTATTTATAAACAAAGTACTAAATCTAATCGAATTAATATAACTTCAGAATACGTACGCCGTTCAAAGGATAACCTTTTTTTAAATTTCGAACGGAACACACCGAAGACATTTTCTGATCTCAGTAAAAACCATCTTTATCGTCCTCGTTCACACTTTTAAATTAAAATAATTTCGTCATAGTTATAAAAAAAAAGAACTACGCAAATATACATACATAATACTACGACTGTATAGATAGCGAAAAACGAACACCATTCATAATTACTATAGTCTTAACTTATTCTCGGTGATGGTGATCTTTTGTTTTTTTTTTATAGGATGCTCACTTTAAGCCAAGTGCTATCGATTGTCTGTGACTGCACTAGACATGACTAGCCAACGACTTCTCCATGCTGTTGTATCTGCCCTAAAGCTAATTACAATATTTTCATGTAAGGCAGATATGCGGCATAACCGGAGTAATAGTGTATACATATTACCACTGTGTTCTAATTGTAAGAGAACGAGAGACTTATTAAAAAAAAAAAAAATGATTTTCTTTAATTGTTAATACGTGAGTTGTCTTCTCTTTTCTTTTTATTTCTTCCTCTTGCTTGAATGTAGAAATATAATATACGTAAAAAAAATACTCCTTTTTTCTCATCAGCATTTTATAAATTTGCTTCCGTTGCGAGAACTCGGATCTAATGGTCATTTGCGAACCTTTCCGTTTTCACCAGTTGTAAAAAATCTTATTTCAGTTTGTAGAAAAAAAGATATCGGAAGTTATTAAAAACTGCTACTTAAAAAAAATTTACTTAAAAATCGTATATATTCTCAATGTTAAATGATGCACAGTTAATGCTGTTGTGTTGCATTCCTTTTTTTCATCATAAAAACTTTTATTATTTGAGTCCGATAACTTTGACCAAATTCAGATGTCAATCTGAAAACTTCTTGTCTATATTGAAGAGGAAGAGTGTTTCTTCTCTCATTTCTATTTGTTATCCATGTCCTGTTAACTGGAATAGCACATGACCAAGATTTTGCACTCATTTTAGTCGATCCTTTCTTCCATAGTTGAGTGCAGAATACAATTCCAGCAGTAAATAAGAATTGTTCACCCATTAAAGACGTTACTTCCAGGTTTCCATGTTTCTCTTGTTGGCCACGGATTTTTGGTGGAACTGGATGTACCATAATTGTTTGAATTACAGATCCTTCCTTAGCCAAGTCATTGAAATTTACTGTAAATAACTCGAAAATTTTTGTCTGTGCTATAATACTGGAAATAGACATTATTAGCTTTAAATTCACACCAGTATTATAAGGATAACAAGGAAATGAATCAGCTTTAATTCCAGCATTGAAAGCAATGTCTTTTGCTTCGTTATCTCTTATTCCTAATGGTAGATAACCTAATAGATTTTCAGTCATAGTCAATTCATCTGTATTTAAAGATGACGCATATGGTCCAGGAGGAGTATCACTTATACTTCGTCTTACGGCTTCACTCAGTACCCCTAAACAAGGTAGTTCTTCATACAGATTATGATTATCTGTTGTTACAGGTCCATAGAATCCACCATATTCACCAATTTGATAAGTAGGTAATTTTGGAAACCATGGATAAAGGCGTTCTCCTGTTATTGTTTGTATGGAACCAAATACTTGAAGTTGTAATAGTATTGGTTCAGGAATTGAAAAACTAGATTGTTGTAAAATTAATAACAACTCTCGTTCTTCAGGAGTGATAGGGTGAAAGAGTTTCAGCTTAAGTGAAACAAATCTGAACCATAGTAAGCTGGTACTATAATAATCCAGATATTCAGGTAGGATCCTTTTACGCACGTTCAGGTCATATAGATACAACTCAAAATATACTCGCCTAGATATATCAATTAAGGTTGGAGCTGATGGTGTTATTCTTGTATATAGATTTACTTCTTGCAATGACATACTAGTAGACGCAAAAATTGAATTCTTGGCCGGGTCATGTTGTGGTATGGCAAGTTGTTGTACTGTCTGTTGTTGCATCTTAGATGGCTTGATGATAAGAAAAACTTCTTAGACGTAATGCCTTGTGCTTATGCAACTTGAGATGCTAATAAATCAGCTTTAGCTATGAACTTTGTTCTACAAGAGTCACTGAACTGTAAAAATATCGGCATAATTTCATATATATATATATACATATATGATACCAAAAGAAATTGTGCATACAAAGAAAACGTATAGAAAAAGTACTGCAATAATTTTCTTACCTTCTCTATCAGTACACTCTTCTCAGCCTATGGATATTCGTGCCAGAAAGAAGATGAGAGCAGTAATACCGAACGGTAAATATTACCGACTTGCTATGTATGTGAAGAACATAGGTTCAAGCCTCAAGCAGTATTGCAATGATAGGATTAATTAATTAATTAATAGTTCCTATCTTATACCTCTCTGAAAGTTCTGAAGACGACTGAAGACAATCAGAGACAATACGGCGCAGTGGATTGGATAGGATTTGGGTCCGTGCACGCCCAGTGTTGCTTGTTGGGTGATGGGGGCCACTTTTTCTAGCGCATGCGCATTGGTCATATAAATGAAGTAAGAAAAACCCCATAAAGGTGCCTCTTCATGCTAACGTTCGACGCTCATTTTTAGCGTCAATTTTGATCACGTGATCTATTTTGACAAAAATGAGCATCGAGCGTTGGCAGAAAAAGGTGCTTAAAAGGAATACCTATGGCTGCGTTCAGCAGAACGTTCGTTTTGCAACTGTTGGAAGTTTCTTTCGAGCTGATTGGATCATACTTTTAGATCTAGAAGAATGGTCCTATCTCAGCAGACAATCATAAAACGGTTGCAAAACTGTTGAGTCTGCTGAACGCAGCCTATATCAAGGCCTCTTTCACTAACTCCTATTAAGGGAGCGTTTATATTGGCCGTAACCGTATGTCGTATGCCGTAATCTGTAAGAATTGACTAATCACAGTCAAGTATTCCCCTCTTATTCAACAGTAAGAAAGAAATACTCGAAGGTGATTGATCAATCTTTACAGATTATGGCATACGGCATTACGGCCAATATAAACGCTCTCTAACACTAAGGGCCATGACACACAAAAAAACTTAAGCAGTAAAATG